ACCGAGCACAGAGGCCCCATTAGCATGTAATTAGGTAGATTCCAGCAAAACCATCCTGGAGCCCCCTCCTTCTCCTCACCCCCCCCCATCTCCAAAAGCCGGTCTCAGGCATCAGCACGTCAGCGAGATGTAAATTAGCACCTCCAGACGAGAGCAGAGTTCACCCTGCACTGGGCTCTGCCTTGCTGTGCCAGTGCACTCCTCGTTTTAATAGTTTAATAAAAATTAGCATAATTAACGAACATCTGTATGATCCAGAGTGGTGCAATTTGGCACTTGGAAACGAGGACTTAAACATTATTGCTGGGAGTTTAATGTTGTTTTAATTCTTTTTGGCACTGCGCAGTGAAATAAACGCTCGGTGCCGCAAGTTCTCGGCTGGCTCTCATTTGCATTTTCCTCCCTTTGATTATGAGCAATCGCGGACTACCCGGCAATTCGTCAAAGCAGAAATTATTTTAAAATACCTCATAGTGTTCAGGCTATGGCAGAGCTGGGGGGGGGTTGAGCAGAGGCTGGGGGCTCCCCGTCACGCCTGGGGGTTGCATCTCGGCCCCTCTGCCCACAGGTCTCCAGGCTACAGCAAATAAACCTGATTTTTTTTTTTTTTTCCTTCTGGTTTTGCAGTAGGATTTTTCTTCCCTGCTTGGTGAGGATAGAGGGGCAGGGGGATGGAGCATCTGCTCCTTCCGTCCCAACAGCAGCACAGGGGGGTTTGCTGGGGTGGGGGGGTCCCCGGGGAGCATCGGCATCCCAACCCGGGGAGTGTCGGGACTCCCGAGCCCCTTTCCTGGCTCCAGCGAGGGCAGCACCATCTGCAGAGCTGGAAGCGTCGGGAGCAGCGTCTGGCTCTGGTGACTCAGCCCCTGTCCCCAGCAAAGCCCTTTCCCTGTCGGGAACCAGGGATGAGCTCAGGGATGCGTTAAATGCCCCAACCAGGCTGGCGGGGTGGCAGTCAGAGCTCGTGTGGGACACGGGATGGAACGTGCTGCTGTGCACATCACTTGTAACATCATTTCCTTTTAAAAAAAAAAAATAATAATAATCTCCCGGTTTGATGGCAAACTTCTTGTGTGTGCTAACTTCTCCTCTCACACGCACGGTGGGGTGGAGGTTTTCTCTGTTTTCTGCCTCCAGTATCTGCTGTCAGGGGAAAATCGCACGTAAATCTGGGGAGGGGACACGTTACCCCGACACGATTCACCTGGAGGGGCTTCACAGAGCTCCAGGCTGGGGCCTGGGACATCCCGAGGGCCGACATCTGAAACTGAAATACCCCAAAAAGATCAGGGTGTGAATTAAACGCTGAGATTCTGAGCCAGCCCCAAGCAGGACCCGGAGCAAAGCGGGGAGAGAGGGGCAGGATGAAGGAGGGGAGGTTAGGGAGGATTTCCCAGGGGGAGAGGTGGGCCTGGGGGATTTGCTGGTGGGGGTCTGGGGGCTGCCTTCTGTACATGCAGGTGCTGAAGGCGGGGGCCTGAGCCGTGTCCCCTGCCCCAGCACTAAACCCTCGTCCCTCTGGTTGTGTCTTCCCAGGAGTACAACATGTACGGCTGGTGGGTCGGAGAGCTCAACAACGTGGTCGGGATCGTCCCGAAGGATTATCTGGTGGCTGCCTACGACCTGGAGGAGTGATGGGGGACCGTGGCACCCCAGGTGAGAGGTGGCACCCTGGGGTGCACCCGCTAGGGATGAGGCGTGGAAGCAGGTGCTGGGGTGGAGGCTCCGTTCCTGGGGTGCCCCGGCATCTCTGGGGTGCTGAGCCTTGAGGATTGTCTTTGGCTCCATCTCCTGGTCTCTGTTTTACGTGAGAGCAGGCAAGGCTGGGAACCACAGTTACAGTTCAGGGACGATCCCTCCCAGGATTTCAAGTTCTCCATGGCAGAAATGTGGTAAAACCACAGCAGCCACCTCCACTGGAGCCCGAGAGCTGGGTGTCAGCGGCTGTAACACCGACACCAGGTGCTGCAGACGCAGTGGTTTTCTCCCAAACAAAACCCTGCATTTGGCAGATGGGGAAACTGAGGCACAGGCCAGTGCTGTGACAGCAGCGTGGGTCTGCAGCCCAGCTACAGGCAGAGTCCTGACACCTGCAAGAGCTCCGCGCTCACCTGGAGATCCCCCACCCTCGTTATCCCCCCTGTGCCCACGAGTCACCAACGTGTGAGGCCGTGTCTGCCCCACTTGGTGTCCCCTTCCCCACCGTCACCCGTGTCTCCCCCCCCTCCCCAAATCCAGGTGCTGCTTCTCTCTCCTTGGCCATGCTGAGAAACCGCCGACACGTCCCTCTGCTACGGGCACCCGTTCCATGAAGAGACCCACATCCCACCGCCCAGCCCGCGCACGGTGCCCCGGAGCCGCGCTCTGCCCCGTGATACCCACTGCGATGCCGTCGGGGCATGGCAGCCCATAATAAAGGCCTTTTTTTTTTTTTCTCTTCCACATTTGGCTGCTCCAGACTTCGTCAGAGGTCTGGAGCCGGAGCTGGGTGTGAGCAGTGACCTCTCGCCTCCAGCCCCAGCTCTGAGCATCCCCAGAGCTCTCAGGTCCAGGCCCAGCCCAGCTCATGACTGAGGATTAACCCATCCTCCTCCTTCTCCTCCTCCTCCTCCTCCCGCACTTGGCTGAAGGGCCACTAGATGGTGGTAAGTACCTGCTGCCTGCAGCCTTCCCGAGGAGGGTGCCCAAACCCCCTGGGCTGCGGCGGAGCAGCCCCCCAGCACCCCCCAGCCCTTCGCCGGGGCGCGTTGGTGCCGACACAGGAGCATCACCCATGGGGTGAACCCAGACATCACCCCAACGGCCACTCCGGACACATCTGTGCAGATGTTTGCAAGCCAGGCACAACCGGGGGGGTGGGGGGGGGACCCCGAAGGCATTCAGGGGGCTGCGGGGATGCAGCCAAACTCATCCTGGTGTCTGCTGCCTCGCCGGGGTCCCGCACACGCCCTCGCTCGCACCGGTGAAAGCACCTCGCTGCCAGGCACGTCTTTGGTGTGAAGGATGGGTTTGGGATGCTCCGAGCTCAGCTCAGCAGGGCGCAAGCTTGGCTCAAATCCTGCCGGTGTTCCTGACCTGCTCCTCCAGCCCTGGGTCTCTGCAGACACGGGAGCCCGTGCCAGGGATCTGTGCGCTGGGAGAGGGAGAAAGGCTCCCTCGGCTCTGCCCCTCCTGCCTCCATTTCCCCATCCCTGAGCATCCTGCACGGCGCAGGGGCAGCTGCAGGCCCAGCAGCAAGGAACTGATGCTCTTGCCCAGGCAGATGCTCTGGTGAAAAAAAAAAAAGACAAAAAAAAAAGACCAGGCCTTGGGTTAGCCCAGCAGCCCATTAGCACTCCTAAAGCTCGAGCATCAGGAGGCCTCATCCTGCCCCAGATCCTGAGATTCACACTCTGCTTGAGGAGGGGCTGGGAAAACAGGAGAAGGAGACGGGAGCAGGATGCTTTGACCAAGCAT